TGAGGCCTTAACAGTGATAGTGCTGAGACTTAACCTGTAGGCCACCAGAAAGGTCATATTTTCATCTTTTAGGAAATAAACAAATATAATATTTCTGCAGAAAAGGAACTCAATGATATTATCATCTATCACTGCTATAAAAACAGTACAACTAACCAAATCAAAATGGTGTTATCATAGGAATTTCCATCTCTGGTTTGTACCACAGTTCTTGTATGCATAAATAAATAAATCTTAAAAAAAAAAAAAAAAAGACTAGGATCCAACCCTTATGGTCTCATTTTACCTTTCTTATCTCTTAACAATGCTGCTTCTATTTACTGTCACATTGGGACTTAGGGCTTCAACAGATTAATTTGGGAGAGATTCAATTCAGTTTTTAGCTATAAATATACATCTGAAAACTTATCTGAAAATTTGGGATTTTTTGGATCTTTCAAAGGAAAAATAGTGAATGCACCAATATTTCCTAACACCCAAATCAAGGAAAGGGAAGAGCTCTATAATCAAACAACATGAAATTTCAGCCACAAATTTGGTAAACAAGGACTATAAACAGCCCCTCTTCACTTCAGGTTCTGCCTCCAATGACTTCTGATTCTCAGAACTTTTATTTATTACTAATGAAGTTTTTTTTCTGAGTTAATTTTTTTAAATGTATACATATTTTACATCATTGTTCATTTTTAAACAATGTTTACTTCCCCCTCCTCAGGTGTAGGCCTGTCATTTTCTATTCTCATAATGCCCTCATATGCTTTGAAGATCTAGGTTATAATAATCTTATGAAATGAATACAAAAGTGTTACTTACTTATCTGTTGTGACCACCACCAGCTAAAGATGTGCAGTGTTATGGGGACCCTCTTGGTGTTAACCTGTACTACAAACTATGTTAGAAACCTCTCCTGAGCATCAATGAGTAGAAAAGAAATAGTAGGGAGGTAGACTTACACCAGCCTCTAGAAGAGTCACAGTAAATGTTGTAGTCTAAAAATCCCAATTAAAAACCAGAGATTCCTGGGCCCTCCCTGGTGGCGCAGCGGATTAAAGCACAGCACTAAGAAGCTAAAGCCACTTCCGCATGAGTTTGATTCCCAGCTGCCCCGGAGGTGACCTCATGGTGTGGCAGACCTCTCCTGACCCGCCCGCTGCTCCCCTCAGCAGTGTACTTCATCGATCTGCCTGTTCTGCTCCCCACTCTGTCCCTGGTGAATCCTCTCACCCTCCACATCTCTGGCCTGTACTCCGGTTCCATATGAATAAATAAATCTTAAAAAAAAAAAAAAGAGATTGCTGTATTGAATAAACAAGATTCAACTATATGCTGCCTATGAGAAATTTGCCTTAAATATAAAAGTCCAAATAGGTTAAGAACAAAAGAATGGGGAAATGTGCCATATTGAAAGTAATCAAGGGCCTCCCTGAGTGTGTAGGGGTTAAGTCTCAGCACAATCAAGCTATAGGCCAGCCACTGCTGGCCTAACCTACCCCCACAAAGAGCTGACCCATAGGCTGGAGCAGACCTCTCCTGCCTGCCAATTGCTCCCCCCAGCAGTCTATTTTAGTCCATCTGCCTGTTCTGCTTCCCACTCTGTCTCTGGTGAATCCTCTCACACACACATAGCTCCACACCTCTGGCCTACAACCTAGTTCTTATATACAAATATAAATAAAAATAAAACCTTTTAAAAACTAATTAAATAAACTAATCAAAAGTAAGCTGGAATGGATAACATGGATTACAGAGCAAATATTACTAGGAGCAGTTATTTTGTAACATTGTGAACAGTACTTTTGAAGTTATTTTAAAAACATAATAACTAGACATTTAGGCACCCGATCACAATGGTTTCAAAATCCATGAAGCAAACACTAATAGAACTGGAAGAATAAGCAAACCTATAATTATAATTATACCCCCTCTCTTGATAACTGACAGAAGTAGGCAGAAAATAGAATGTCAAAACTTGAAAAAACTATTAACCAACTTTACCTGTTTGACATTTATAGAGTACTCACGTTTTTATAAAATATATATGTGTGCAAATTAAGCTTTGTCAACATTAAGAACCTCTGCTCTTTAAAAGACAAGATGAAAAAAACAAGCTGCAGACCAGAAGAAAATGTCTACAAATCACGTATCTGATAAAGGTCCCATGTCCAGAATAGAAAAAAGACTCCCAAATGGTAAGAAAACCAATGATTCAGTTTTTTAAAATGAGCAAAAGACCATTACTTCTTTACCAAAGAAGACATATGACTATCAGAAGTAGCACATGAAAAGTCACTCAATGCTAGTCATCTTTTGAAAATGACAGATTAAAACCACAAAATACCACTGCATGTGGATTAGAATGTCTAGAATTCCAAACACTTAACACGCAAAGTGTTGGTCAGTATGTGGTAGAGCAAAGAGTCTCTTGCTGGTGGTGAGAATGTACAACAGCGCATCCACTTTGTAAAACAGTTTGACAGTTTCTTAAAAAGTTAGACATACACCTACCAGCCACTCCCCCTGGTTTTCAAAGGCAGGAAAGCAGGTGCCCACAGGAAAACTAGCCCACAAACACTCACAAAGCTTTACTTGGAATTGCCCCCAACTGGAAATAACCCAAATGTTCATCAACAGAGGTGAGCAAATGTGGTACATCCCGAAACAGACCTGGTAGTAGGCAATGAAAGGAAACAAACAAAAAAAAACTATTATAAGCAACAACATGGATGAATCTTGAAATAGTTGTGGTAAATGAAAGAAGACAAAAGACAAAAGTGTCCAGAAAATGCAAGGAATCCACTGGGGGAGGAGTGGCAGGAGGCTGGGAGTGGTTGTTGGGTTCGCAATCTTGACTGCAGTAATAGGTTCATGGCGTACACATATATTCAAACTGTACGATTTAAACACATCTATTTAGCTGTACATTAATTATAGTGCAAAGCTATTTAAAAAATTCAGTGAGCAAGTTTCCTCATCTGTTCTGTGCAGGCACCGACATGGAGCTCCTGGTCGTTTGCTGAGCCTGCCAGGTCATTGCCTGCACTGTACTGCCACCCTCTGGCAAGGGCTGCCCCTCTGTGCTGGGAAGGCAGAGGCCAGGCCCAAGGGTGCCTCCCCAGGGATCTTAGCTGTTGCTACCAGGGCCCAGGAACAGCAGCAAACTCAGACACCAGAAAGGCCTGGTGGGCTGTGCTGTTGATTGAGGCTGTCAGGAGAGTAGCTGGGATGTGGGGGAGGAAGGTGCCTGGGTGCAGGGCTCATAGCCACTGACCACTGCCCAGGGGGATGGGCTGTCCCAGTCAGTGTAGAGAGCAGTGCACAAGCTTTGTAAGGCCTATGGGCAGGGCCCCAATGTCAGGACCTGCTTCGTAGCCACACCGTAGGCAGGAAAGCAGAGAAGGGTCTCTCATTCCAGGATTATGTATCTCATGATAACTAGCTAAGGCTTGAGATGGACAGGAAGCAGGGGTCTGGTCAGCCAAACTGTAGGTGCTGATGTTAGAGGTGTGACATTGGTGTCCCTGGGGCTGGCTGGAACAGTGGGGTCATTGTTTTCAACAGATGAAAAACCTGCCAGCTGGAAGAGGCCCATTCACCCAGTGTTTACACATGAGGAACCAAGGCCTAGAGGGACAGGAAGTGACTTGCCCAGGTCCCAGAAGGAAATGATGGCAGAGACCCAGCATTCAGTGGATCTCAGCCCACGGTCCTGCCACAATGGGTCAAGTTCCCTCCACAGCAGGTCAAGGTAATTTTCAGTGTGGCTGTCCAAATGGGACTCTGAGGTTGCTTCCACCTTCTGGCTATTGTGGATGACACTGTAATGAACATGGATGTACAAACATCTCTTAAGACCTTGCTTTCAATTTCTGGGTAGATGCTCTGAGTGGACTTGCTGGATCATACTTTATTTTTAGTGTTTTGAGCATCTGCCATGTTGTCTTCACTGCCACTGCTCCACTTCACACTCCTACCAGTTGTGCAGAGTTCCTGTTTCTCTACATTCTTGACAACAGTTATGTTTTGTCGTTTTGTTTTTGGTAGCACAGCCATTCTAATGGGTACATAATAGGTCCCTTTTTATAAAGACACCAGTCATTTTGGATGAGGACCCACCCTTAAAACCAAACCTAAATATTACTTTGACCTTAAGAACAAAAAGGAGTCTTGCTTTTACAGATACAGCAAAGGCTGAAGGTTTGTCAACTAAACTGTCAACTTCTGGGTAGATACCCAGAGTGGAATTGCTGGATTGTATAATAATTTTATTTTATTTTTTAAAAGATTTTATTTATTTATGCATACAGACTAGGGTACAGGTCAGAGGTGTGGAGGTAGGTGAGGAGGAGAGTATTCACCAGACAGAGCAGGGAGCAGAACAGGCAGATCAATGAAGTACACTGCTGAGGGGAGCAGCAGGCGAGACAGAAGTCTGCCGCGCCATGTGGGTCATCTTCCTGGCTGGGGATCGAACTTGTGCTGCAGTGGCTGGGACAACTTCATAGTGCTGTGCTTTAACCAGTTGGGCCACCAGGGAGGGCCCATTATTTTTAGTGTTTTGAGCATCTGCTAAATTGTCTTCACAGCCACTGCACCATTCAAAGGCCAGATGGAGACTGAGATTACATAGAGGAGGGGATTGCCCAGAGATGGGGTGCTCCTACAGAAACCCAAAACTCCAGACACCTGAAGAAAAGACGCTTTATACTTCCTCTGTAAGTGTCCTGTGAACTTATAGTGACAGATGGGCATCATGTCTTGCAATTAAGACTACATATCCTTTCCAGGTAAGGACCAGATTAATACTTCTATAGAGAGTACTCAAATATTTTGCCAGCAGATTATTCAGAATGATTTTATTTTTAAGCATTATATATATATATATATATACACACACACACACACACACACACACACACACACATTTCAAGTGCACATATACGTATGTACATGGATTTGGTAGTTGTTAAAGGATAAGTATCCACTAGGAAATGATTTTCTATAAGAGCCAAATGTGGAAAATAACACAGATCAACTTAGGAGGCTAAACTATACATGGATACAAAAAACAGCTCCTCACCCTGGGGCCCATTCCTGGGTGGTCACCACAGGCCAACGACCTGAATCAAGAAGAACATTTCAGGGTGCTGCTTCCCAGCTCTGAGGGACTACATCGAAAACCCAGAGGGGAAACGTGCTGGTCAATGAAGAAGTGAGGAACCCCTGGCTGCTAATCTCAGGCAACTTAATCCCCTTGCCTCACAAGGACATCGGAAAGATCCTCAGTTCCTTCTAGCTTGAGATTCTGAAAAAGATCAAACACATGTGAACTTTGGTATCCCGAGACTACGAGGGTCATAAAACAAATCCTAACTGAGGTAACAAGGCGGCGACAACAAATAAGGGCTAAACCATGATAGTAAGTAATGTCACAGCAAACATAACTTGTACGATAAAGCTGGTTCCAAGTCACAAAGACAGAGGATGCCAACCACAGGCCACAAAGCCAAAGGCAATCATTTCCAGCTTCCTGCAGCAATCATCCTCTGCAGAGAGCCCAACAGTAAACTACTGGCCCTGGAAGGAGCTGAGCAAACGGATGGGAGGCCACCAGGAGCTGCAACAAGCATTCATTAATTCCATCCACCAAAGTCTTCCGACCCCCCACCCCTCTCTACATAGGTCTTTCCCTGCCTCTCAACTCTTTCCACACCTAGCACTCTGCCACCCCATGAATTCTCCACCAACCTCAGGCAGCTGCTCTCTCAATACTAATGGATAGTCAGAAGCCTTTCCGTCCCTCCCTCATCTGGCCCTGGAAGCAAGCGTGTTTGCCGACTCACTCGTGCACGCTGGGGCCACACTGCCACTTGGGCAACTGAGTGAAATCAGTAGTCAGTGTTTAACTTTGGATTCAAGAGACTCTGGGCTTTGGGTACACCCCACACTTTTGGAGAACACACTCAGTGGAAGAGGTCACAGCACTTATTCCCTTAAAGGTCCCCCAGGACTGCTCGACAGTGAGACTCTCACACCTTCCCAGTAGGCAACCCCGCTGACTCCGTCTACGAAGTGTCTCTCTGCTCCCAGACTCTTCGCAGCTTCTGGTGGCCACTGCCTCCGCATGTTACTAGCTACTCCCCCCATACCTTCCTCCCTTTTACCCTTATCTCTTTTCTCTGCTGTAGCCATGGGTCTGTGACTTTGGCACTTGCAGATTTTGACCTTTAAAGCCTTGACACACCCAAGGATATAAAATTGACTTTCTCAAGTTGGGAACTGCCATTACAATTTCAGTATCTAAAATCTCCCCCATTTGGGTCCTCAGTGTTTTCACTGTTAATCACAACTGATAGCCTTTACCAAGTTGTTTCTCAAGGCCTGCTTAATCCTCTGGGTTAAAGGCAGTGCGTCCGTCACTGTATTTAAGAGGTCTCACGAGAGCTAACAAAACCTTCTAAGAGGCTGAAGTAGAGAACACTCCTTTGCTTACCAGCTTTACCTACCTTTTCATTGGCTAAATGTAGAAGACAGGCAAAGGCCAGAGGAATAGAAAGGTTTTGAGCCATGAGGGGAGGCAGGCTGTGAAACAAAGAGGCAAGCACTTAGCTAGGACATTGTGATTCTAGGGAAAAAATGCTCTTTCAAGTATGATAATACACATCCAGTGAACAATGAGAAACTGACAAATATTTCAGATGCATTTTATAAGCTGGCTTTTCTAGTTTCTTATTTGGAGATAAAATATCTCTTATTCCATTTCAGGCACTAGAGCAAAATCCCTTTTTAAAGTTGGTCTATAGTAGCTCACTTATGGAAGTAAAAAGAAAGAAAAGTGCAATCATCTGTGCTGTGAGCCGACCCACTAAGCGTGGGGGCCAATGCACTGCCCACTGGGCTCTATGAGGCCGCGAGCGGGCCTGGCCAGCACGCACCTCTTCCGCAGGTCCTTGGTGAGCCCGCTCAACATCTTCTCATCAGCCACCTCTTCGGAGGCCCCTCCTTTTCCAGTTTCACTGTGATTTGCCTAACAGAAGACATTTGCAGATCAGACATTTAGGGCCACATCACTTTTGAGAAAGTAACATAAATCTATAAAATTGTATCTCCAAAAAGAAACATCTACATCTAAATGAAACCAAACAACTTCTTACAACATTTGGAGGGAAAGGATCAATAAGGCGGCCCAGTGCCTCAGCCCTGGGTGATGACACGACATTTATGAGGTACAGTAAATGGCTATCAACGCTGGTATAATCCCAGGCTGCAAATATCATAACTCTAACTCACTTTCCACTTAAAACCCCCACACAGATAGGGACTGCCTCCTTGCCGAACACTGAAGAAACTCCAAATGCATCTATGGGACGTGGGGGAGGGACAGGACTGGGCGACAGCACAGCCAAAGCACTCCTTATACTACTCTTTTTTCGCTATGTAATTTCATATTCGAATATTTTCGCATTACAAGTTTAAAAGAAAAATACACCTTTAGTTAATCAGAATCCCTGGAGGACTGGGTATTACTATAAGTTATTTAAATTCTACAATAAACAGAAATTCCTTCCTACTTTTTTTTTATTATTACAAAAGTTTATTTTTACATCATTTTGTACATTTTTTTTCCATCTCAATTGTAATCCCTGCGGTTTTCCCATCACCAAGTCACCCATGTGCCATCACCATAATCCCGTGCATTTCCCTCCCCCACCCCATTTTTGATCCCATTCCCCACTCCACCCCCACACCTTCCTACTTTTAAAATGTGCATTTTCCTTACACTCTGTTTTAGTTGACAACGTCTTATGAACGGACTGAAACTTCATCTGATATCCAAGACAACACACTTTAGGGTCCTCAATTAAATCATGACTTTCCCCTTTTGGTCCAGCAGGTGAGATAATGGGTTTGAGTTTGGAAAGTTCAGAACACTCCCTGAGCAGAAGAGGTTCAGAAGACGAGATGGAAGGATTCTAGTAAGCTAAGAACTCCAATTATTTGGCACGAGTGAAACAAGGTCTTACCTTGCTCTGATGGAGAAAGAGACACTGTGACAGCGTAATTTCTTTTTCACTATTTCCAACTTAGAATACATTTCCCAAAGCAGAATTATTATGTCAAAGGGCTTAAACATTTTATGGTACTGAGAAGTTAGAACTTGCTTTCTAAAAGAAAATTATCAACTTCTAAATTGCACCATTAGTGAAGAAGTACTCCAATTTTTCCTCTACTCCATACTGAAAAACATTGTCTTACAGTTAAAAATTGTTACTGTAAAGCAACATAGAGAGCATTCTTTATATATTTTTTGTTACCATGCACTAGAGTTACCATCTGTATCACCTCTTGTGAGACCTGCCTGTTCACACACTTGAATCATTTCTCCTTCAGAGGTGTAACATCACTCTTCCTTTTATTTCTGAATGAATGCTTTATGCATTAGTGCAAATGACTGTGGAGCTGTAGACATCAGTCACTCTCTTCCTATAGCTAGGCACTCAAACATAAGTGGAACACATTACCTCCGTGTCGGTTTGCTTGGAAAATTCTGTCAGCAAACTCCACATGTTCTGCTTCAACTTTTTCATGTCCATCTTTTTGGCTGTCTTGGCATAATGAATTTCAATTTTATTTACCTGAAATAGGTATGTGACAAAATAAAGCTAAGCAGAAGAAAGAACATTTGCTATCAACTCACTGTAAAATCAAAAGCCAGAATCTAGTTAAAACCAAGGAGTTATAGAACTTTCTTTGGATACACTAAAATAGAATCCCTCATTTCAATCTAATTCCTAGTGCAATCTACATCACGACTAACGTGGACTGCAAGCGAGAGATAAGTGTTTTAGATATGTATGAAAGCACCAGGTCTGTTAACTGATACAGAATAAGATGATTTTTAAGGCCTAACAATTTAGCTTGGGCAAGAGTTGAGGGCCAAAATGCCAGCCTCATCTAATTGGCTTTGAACCCACGTTCTCTGCCTGCAGTCCTCATCACATACTTCACTAGTGTAACTGATAAACTCAGTCATATGGTTATGACTAGTTCCTTTGGCAAGATGATTAGTTCCATACAAACATAATTCACATCAGCTCATTCCCTATATGCTTATTTGAGAACCAGCCATTTAAAGAGCAACAGCTTAAAATCAAAATGAAAAACAAAAACAAACACAAGCATCCAGACCAACTTGACATGCATATGGAGACAAAAGAAAAAGGCTCTCAAGCAAACAATATTAAAATATAATTCTTAGCTTCTCCCTACCTTTTGAGGCTCAGTTACCAGATTTGACTCCCCGTAAGTGGTGATGTCTAGTCTTTGGGCTTCAGGTGCATCATCATCCTCCTGTGTTGTCTTAGGTGGATTGCAAGAATTAGATGTAAGGTCAAAGTCCCCAGCTGGTCCCACGAATAAGTCATCTGATTCTTCATAATCACTGTCAGCAGCCTGGGCAAGAAAATAGCTTTTCAAGTTTGGCAGTGGCTGAGAGGCTTAGAAGTACCATTGAAACAGAATCCTTATTTTCACAGCAAGAGCAAAGCACCTAAGAGTTCCTTAGGTCAAACCCAGGGTTTGGCCTAGGTCAATTCCTGGGTCAAACCCAGGATGGACTCTGTCTTCCCACTGCACCTCCTGGGGGAGGATCATTAACTAAGACCTCTGCAGTGACAGTTGAAAGGAATTCATAATCTTAGTTGCTACAATATCTCTTTTGGCTTTTCCCTCTCCTGTTACTTGCATCTACCACCTCATTATTACCAATAACTTACAGAAGGGATATTAGGATTAGTATAAACTAAGATCTGAAGACAGGGAATGACATGTACACATTCAGTGAGAACCAAAATCAGAAATACAAACCTGGCACCCTGAGGTGCACCACAGAGACTGTTCCCCAGTTTGGTCACGCCTCCTTCATATGTCTATGTATTTTGCTTCTTGAGGTAAGGCAGGCTGAAGTTTTGGCTGTTTCCTGAACTCTGCTTAGTTCCCTAATGTCTATGGCAGGTGAGCATCCACAAACCCCACCCGACTCAGAATTTTCTACAGGTTTCAGCCATACAGGCAAGGGGCAGACGGCAGGCAGAAAAATACAATCTTGGCAGAAGAGAAGACAAAGCTCTTCTCTCTACCTACCTGTAGTCCAGGGCAAAAGTTAGAGGTGTCGTTCGGGTTGTTGTAATCATAGTTTTCAATTTGTTCATAATGCTCTGTGCTTGCCCTCTGGCCTGGGGACATCCTTCGTAACTAGAATGAAGAAAAGAACAAGAACAGGGAAGCAATTTCTAGAAAACTAGCACTAAGTTGGAGAAGTCATCTAAGTTCTTATCATAGAGTTTATGATTCTATAAACTATATGTTATAGTTCAAAATTTTAGAGTTACAAAGGCCCTGAGAAGACATCTTATCTAATCAGTTTTCACTGTGCAACTCTGTCCTAGAGCAAGCGCAGCAGTTTCTATCCATCCCGAAGAAACCAGAAAGGCTGATTAACAACTAGGTCCGCATACATTATTATCTGAAAAACGGTTGCTTCACCAAAATCAAAACTACCTATAGCCATCTGAAGAGAAGTCAATTTGGTACTGCAAGAACATTCTTAGAGAAAACTCACTGACTAATTTATAGGCAGCCTGTCCCACTGCTGGGGCAATCACTCTCCCCCACACAACCACAGGGAGAAGCATTCCTTCTTCCTGTCATGACAGCCAGGTCCTTTCTCTGCCTTCCAGCAAGAACAAGTCAGCCTCCTCTTTAGGGACTGCTGCAACCACAGTCCTTTGGCTATTTGATGCCCCCAAAACTGAAGTGTTTAGCTTTGATGTGAAATAAATGGGGTTGGAGGTGTGTATAGTTTACAAAACCATATTGAATATTTCAATACAATTGTATACCCCAAAAATAGTCAAAAAGAACTCACAATGTTTTTGCAATGCAAATCCAGAAGTAATGTTAAATAGCAGGGACTTATTGAATTAAGACACACCCACTTCCACTGTTTCTGAGATGCCACAATTTTTAAGTCCCCATTCATTTAGGATACTCTCTTTTGGGCACACGTGAAATTATCCATATTCTACAAGAAATGTTTCAGAAGTGGACATGTCCTCTCCCTCCTCGTAATGACTAACTCATATAGAAACACTGACATTCAACTGGACGGGTGGATGATCTCTATAGTCCTCACCCAAATAGTGTGCACCAGTCTAGTTTTTAATTTCCAAAGCTTCCAGTCATTACCCAGTGAACCCTGTTGCCTGGCTGCCTTATGGTACACCGTGAAATTTGTTCCTGAGGATAGTTCCTTCCTCCATAAGAAATAATAAGAACCAACAAAGAGCAAAGAAACAACTGGAGTGTAATGAGCCAATTACTTTGTTCTACCATCTTCATACCTGAACATGCAAATCACTACCTAGGTTACATTCTCCAAATGATCAAAATAAGGGCTTGAGGGAAAGAAACCTGACTCGACCACTGAAAGTAGCTGGAGGCCATGCAAGGCTCGGTGAAGTGTCCACCCATGTTCCTGGTGCTGCTCCTTCTGCCCTAAAGAGTGCTATTTCTGATCACAGTGAGGTGCTGATGGTGTCACAGTTACTACGATGGCCACAACTTCATTTCTCTTTCTACATTTTAAAGAGTATTTCTATTAAGTAAACCATATTGATTAGAAAATTTAGTTGTTAGAAATATTCAGTTGGTTTATAAGAACAGAATACAAAACAGGCAAAATGAGGAAGAGGAAATAGTGGGCTATACACTTGATACCAGAGACTAGAACCACAGGAATGCAAATAAGCAGAAGGTCCATATAAAATGGAACTTGGCATCTATCGCTGCTGAGCTACCCTGGCAACAGGGACAGTCACTTGCTACTAGCAGCACAGGAAAGTCACAGGGAAATGAACAGTGATCAAGCTCAGCAGCAAGTGGTCTAGAACACTTAGCAGGTCTAGAGGGAGCCCAGAAGACCATGCAGAGGTGGGGAGCTTCCTGGCCTCTACAGTCAGACCATCCATCACTCAAGCATCACTGTGTGCTCACATCGACGCCTTGCTCTGATGGAGGCGATGTGGGCAGGACATTGCATATGGCTAATAACCCACAGTTTCAACTAGAAAGTGAGAATCAAGAAACACCTACCATTTTTGTAAATACTTCAATGAAGATGCATTTCAACATGTCAGCTCCTGTGTCTAGCGTTCTAACCAAATGAGTTGTTTCTGAGTTTTTAGTGAGCATCTACTCTGTAAGCTTTAGCTCAGCCTTTCCCTTTCCATCGCCCAGTAACTTCCCAGATGAGCACACAATCCTCAAGTACACCGTCTGATGGCCAGGCTACCAGCCACTGGAGCTCCCAGGCCACAGACAGGTTCAACAGCAGCAGCCTCCGGTAACAGCCTTACCCTGGCACCTGGTTTGAGATGCAGCTGGACAAGATTATCAGTCTCGTAGTGGAAATCCGTGGGAAGAGTAGTAGCTCGCCAATTCTGGTTCTCCAGAGTAGACTTGGTCAGAACAGTGGCAGCCTGTTAATTTTTAAAAAGAGAAGTGTTTTTGGAATCTTTAATAAAAAAGCTCATATCTTATTTGGGGGGAGATGGGAGAAGCTTGAGGTTTGGACAGCAGCAATCAAAGATCAGAGTTCCCAGTTCTATGTAAAAGAGTGATTTGCTAGTCACTATTCATATTATAAAAGTAATTTTTCTCTGCCACTGAGTTTGGAACTATTTCTCAATTCCTTTAGGGACTGAGGGAGAATGAAGCCATTCATTGACTCTAAAATTAAATTTATAATGAATTTTTAAAAACCCACATCTGAAAGGGAAAGAGAAATATAAAGAGTAACTGTGGAAAGCATGTGTCCATAAATCTGTCCAAACCTTTGTTTTTCGGAAGTATGTATCAAAGTCAACATCATCATCAAAGTCAATTTCAAAATCTTTCTTTGTGTTCTTCTTTCTGTTCTCTGATTGTGAGGCAGCTTCTTCTGCAGAAATTAAAACAGATGTCAACACTGTTTCACCTTTAGCCAAAGTTATTAATGCATCTCACAAAATCCATGGGCCGCCTTATCAGTCACAAGACAGCATGTCTGATAACATAACAGAACTAGGAAAAGCAAATCATCCATTTCACCCTTCTTTTGTGTGTGTGTGCTATTAAAATACACAATTTCTTCTTTTCAAAGGCCAAATCAAAAACTGTAAAGGCACAGCATTTCAGAGTGCCGCCTCTGGTACTAACTCATGCAGACCCTCCAGGGCCCATGGTCATCCCACCAGCAGCCACTGTTTGAAGTCACATGGATACTAGCAGGTAGTAGAGGTCATGGGCCCAATTCCCTTGACTCCAAGTATTCTTTTCACTCAGAGCCCTCAAACTGACCCCTCAACCCAGGTCAGGCCAACTGGAGACGAGCTTATCGTATGCTTCTTCAGCTTATCAGGACAGCACAGTGGCTAAACTGTAACTGGACTGTCATTTACACTCCTCTCAAGTTCCATCAAGAGGTACATACGTTTGTGTCGGGGTCTAAAGCGCCAGTGATCAGGTCCAGCCCACATCGACATAGTGCGGGGGCTAAAGTAGGAATATTCCCCAGGTTTCATGGATAGAAGGGGGCACATGGTCTTGATATCTCCATCTCCAAGGGGGATCATTTCTTCCCTGTAACACATATGAAATCATGTTTTTACATATAAATGAAGACTCCACCTACCCACTTCCACACAACTGAGATACATTTGTTAAGTCCAATAATCCCTTTGTTTTTACTTAGTGCTTTTGCATCTTAGTTTTATATGACCACATCTATACAAGTACTTCTGATATCTCAAAGTACTCCATAAGACATGTTTGCCCATTTAATAGAGAAAAAAACAGTGGTAGAGAGAAAAATTTTAAGTTAAGACTACACAGCTAGCAAACTGCCAAAGCTGAGGGTTAGGTATCATCCCCTGGACCCCAGCTATAGTTCTTGCACACAAGGCTTTCTGCCACACGAGAAGACTACACATCTACTCTTTACCACCCTTCCACCCTTCCATAAATGAAGGCTCCAATGAACGCAGCTATGCCTCCACTAAAACTGGAAACTATGTCATTCTAATTTATATCCCCCAGGTGACTGGGGGCCCCTCAATATAATGTGAAGCAATTCAGCTTTATTCTTTGTGGTGTGTTAAGTGTCTAACTGGGCAGTCCAATGTGGCAGATTTGGTTTGGTCCTTTAGCGTTTCTGCAAATTACCAGACTATCTGAAGTAGCTTTCTTCTCACAGGCTTCGGACACACCTGAAAGTAAGTGCTGCTATACTGCCCTCTAAGGGGAAATGTAACGGGAAACTTGAGACAACCAGGGAATTTTGGCCTGTATTGAGCCATGTGTATAAATTCCATTCACATCAAGCCCTACAGAATAAGCCAAAAAAGCTTTAAAAGAGGACTTTGTCTGGCCCTCCCTGGTGGTGCAGCGGGTTAAAGCACTGCACTGAGAAGCTAAAGCCACTTCCGCATGGGTTTGACTCCCGCCGGCCCTGGAGGTGACCACATGGTACGGCAGACCTCTCCTGACCCGCCCACTGCTCCCCTCAGCAGTGTACTTCGTGGATCTGCCTGTTCTGCTCCCCACTCTGTCTCTGGTGAATCCTCTCACCCTCCGCATCTCTGGCCTGTACCCCAGTTCTGTATGAACAAATAAATAAATCTTTAAAAAAAAAAAAAAAAAAAAGAGGACTTTGCCTTTACCTGAGAATGTTAAAAAAAAAAAGGAAATTATATTTGTATGTTTATCATGTAACTGAAACTTAAAAATTAAAATACATGAAAAAATTTCACTCTGAGTCTGAAAGACCTAGTGCTGTAACAGAGCCTGACAACTAGTCTCCCTTTTCGAGGTCTGCCTCTTCCAAAACTTCTGTACTTCCCTGTGCAGGAGCTCTATTTCTTCTACTCGGCCCCCACCTTCAGCTTAGCGCATTTTGGTCACATCGTACTAGTACCTGCAGGTAAAAACTGGCTGGGAGCACATTACCCAGTGTGCAGGCTGACGCTTCACTGCAAACACGGAGCAGGCTGTGGTCTGTGCCTGAACCACTGGCTAGGTCTTTAACTACAGTCAGCACCTTACAAAGACAGGCACATCTGCACCCCAGACAAATCCCCTAGATAACACACGGCCCCTGCTACAGGAAGAGGAGGCACACCCAAGCTGCCCTCAGACGTAAACATTTCCTCAGACGTGTCCCTGCTGATGTACACAGTTGTCAAAGTGTTGCCATGTAGGGGATGGATAAGAGGGATCCCATACAACACTGGGGTCTGTAATTCAGCACTGCCCCTACCTACCCTAAACTAGACAAGCCTTTTAGCAGTGTACAGTGTTTTCAAGCCTAAGTATACAGTATAATTATCTAGAGAAATTCTGGGGAAAAAGTGACACAACACCTAGTCTTAGAGCTTCAGTTAAATGGTCTGAGGTGGAGTTTGTCATTCAAAGATCATCACATGCAGCTCCCGCCAATCACTCACTATGTAATGTATCTGAGTCTGCTTCCTCACCTATAAAATGGGGATAACAGAACCTAATCACAGGGTTGTTGCAAGGATAAAGTAATGAACCTGTCATAGTGTCAGAATAAGAGCTCAATGAATATCAGACAGTACTATTTTCATCTAGTTTCAATCCTTTGTTTTTCAGCTGAGAAAGCAAAGACCCCAAAAGGTGATGCCACGTGTCCTACAACTCAGTTATCCATGGGGTGGTCAGGTCCAGTGTGCAGTTCACTTCCTGGGGAAGGTCAGCACCACGCCAAGGGCAAGTAGGAGGTTTCAAAAAGGACAAGACTCTAGCCTGGAACCTAAGCTCAGTTCTGGACTCTGGAGTCTAAGATTTTGATCTGTTTGGAACTAGAAAAAGAAATGGAGACATTTGTTAACAACAACTATCTTCCAAAAATAAAATGGAAATGACTAAAGCCCTCTGCTACTTACTGTCAGTTCCTCAGATATCACTTTCTGTTCAGGAAAAGTGACAGCGCCTCTGACATTTTGAACATATTATATCTCATCCTATTTACCTGGTCATTATTACTCACTGAGAACATAGCCCAGGACAAGGGGCAAAATCACAGTATTGCCAGTGTAAATCAGGAGAGGAGAGCGCTAAAGGGCCTAACTGGTAAATCTGGGCTTCAGATCCCAACTGTTTAGCCCTGTGATTTCTGCTCAGATATGAAGAGACAATTTCAGTCGAACATTTCCCACACGGGCAAGCTGAGTTTAAAAAAACAATCTACTATCCTGGGGACATTCAAACAAAGCTCCTGAAGAGATTTTGGCCGTGGTGGGAAATTACAATAGGCAACTTCCAAGCTTTTTTTCCTGTACTAATCCAGCTTCAGGTTGGCCAAACTGCTGTGATGGAAGCAGGAGTTATCAGAGGGTCTGTCTGTTTTAATCTTAAGATCTTTAGAGGCCCTCACACTAAAGGGCTGTGGGACCCTACTTCCAAATCATTGAAAATTGAAACAGTACTAACAAATTAAGTATATAAAGTTATGATTTTCTTTTTATGATGCTTATTCATCAAAAAGGTAGTACAGGCCAATTCTACCACCTTTCCTACCCCAGTCCAATATGCTGAATTTTATTGCTTATTTCATTTTCAATTTTGCTCAGTACTGATTTAACTCTCTGGCAACACAACACTGCCCTGTCCCCTCTTTGTCTGACCCTTAACAGGGCCACTACTTCTGCCCATAACCATATGGGATGATTTAGCCAAAAGTTCAATACAGGCATTGCATAGAGGGAGAGTGCTCCATACTACCAAAAGGCAAGTGGTAACAGGAGCTACCACATCCCAGGCACTTTTCAGCACTTCTTAGAGTTTAAGTTCTATCCTTACAAGCTCAGCAGCGTCAGTTTATACCCAGTAATTGGCTGAGCCGACGTTCCACTGAGTCAGGAAGGCTCAGTCAGTGTGGACAACACAGCACACCTGCCCAGCCAGTTCAGAGGCGAAATGAGATTGCCCCAGCAGGGACTCTATTATGAACTGGTTGATGCTCCCACGGGAACATCCTCCATGGGCCACTAAGCCTTACTGGCAACTGTCAACATGGCAGGACTTCTTCCAGCTCCCGAACTCTGTCTGATCCCCAGCTGCAGTGTGATCAGGTTCATCATTGGCATCATCGTTGGCATCGAAGTCGTCCTCCAGAGGCCCGTTGGGGAAGTCCCCGCAGTCACTCTCCTCTACCTCAGCGTTGATGTCAAATACCTGATCATTCTTCTTAAACTTGTCCACCAAGGCCGACACAGACTGGAGGGGACAAAGAGGATTCATTTCCCCTATTCCTGTAACCACCCAATTACTGTTGGGAGATGTGCCTTCTCCCCTCAAAATTCCAGTTTCCAGCCTTCTATCCCCTCCTTCCCCCAGGGTCAATGTCCTCATCATAGTAAAGCATTGAGGAAGTTTATATTCTGCAGCCCCGAATGAGCTGCTTTGTTGCTAGGCTCACTTTGTAAAATAGGAATTGGTGTCCACTAACTACATGTTTAGAGAAAATAGTTTTCCATGGAGACCATTTATTTTGGAAACTGCAATAAGTAGGCTAAAGGGGGCCATGCTAAAAATAAACAGAGGAAAGCTCTACATATGACAACATCTCAGGAAACTCTGTGCCAAGGGACTCAACCCTAAAGACAGGAAATTCCTCAAGCTTGACAGCAGTCTAAAATACCAGCAGCCACTGAGAGACCATGTTTAATAGTAAATTTGGTTGAAAAGGGGCACCCAGGAATAGCAGAGCAAGAGGGGACACAAAGCTGATCCCAGAATTCCTTTAGCTGTCTGATGTTTCTGCTGGAGTTCACGGTACATTCCCACAGCCCTTCACCACCCACCCCCCGAGGTTTTAGGCCCTAGAGAAGGGCCAAAGGAAATATTTTCTGTACTCCTGGCTAAATAAAAATGATGCCACAGTTTTGGTTCCCACTGGGCAGAACTAATTTTAGACCACTACACTGAAACCATAGCTGTTGGAGAAATGCCCAAAGTCCCAAAGCTGACCGCACCTCATTGTGTGTTTCACTGTCCCATTTAGTGAACTGGAACCCAGCCAGGGAAGGGCAGATCTGGCGATCTTCCACACACTGCTGCAAGGGTGCTGGAGACAGGAAGAACACAAAGCGGGCTCAGAGGCAGGAGCGCACACTCCGCGCCTCCTCAGGGCACTGGTCTCACAGACTGCTCTCCCAGAGGGCAGACACTCAGACACGCAACCACACTGGAAGTAGTCTCCATGCTGGCATCTGAAGAATTAATAAAAACATTAGAGCAGAAACCTGAAGCAGTGATTTGACTCTGAAAGGGGCTCCATGCCCTGTGCTGTTAGTTGAGAAATCGAAATCCCTTCCTCAAAGTATACTAAGTGACAAGCAATAATCCAATGTTACTTATTTTAGTCCCAAATTAAACCAGCTACGGAACACCCACCTCAAGACTAGAACCCCAGTTTGAGAGCAGAAGCTTGGTGGCTGGACTTCATGCCTACCTGAGCCTGCATAAAGTCATCAGGTAGAGGCTCACCCCTGGGGGCAGGTACGGAGGCACAGGAGCGGACGGGTATTAAAAACCCTTGCCAAGTCAGTACGGAGGACTGACAACAGAAAGGGTCCATTCTCAGGCCACCACAGGGGAGTCTGAAAACAACTCACAATGTGCTCTTCTCTTTGGGAGCCCCTGGGCAAATAAAAATAAGGTCCCTCTTGTTTGATAAGGTCCCCCCTCCCTGAGTCCAAACTCTGATACTCCAGTGTGCACCCAGGCCTCTAAGATGTGACTGTGAGATCTGTAGCTAACAGAGACACTTGAGGAATTAGCTACTATTAGCATTAGCTACTATGACTTTGAGACCCATGCTGCAGAAAGTAGAAAAGTTAGCTTCTCCCAAAAAGATGCCTACCTTGGCAATGCAGAAGCACCTTCTGGGCAATTTAAACAAGCAACATAGACCATGATGGGCTTACTTACGTACATCCCACAGTAATACAGAACCATTGCAACCACTGAAATGCTCTGCTAAAAGGCACCGCGTGGACTTACCTTTTAAATCTGTCATTTCTACCCAACCTAAATCTGGCAACTCCAGGGATTCTCCAGTGGAGAGTGTCTGGATGTCAGAAGGAAAAAGCAGCTCACTCCTGTAGTCACTGCAATGGAGGGTGGAGAGAAACACCCCTGCGGTGCTGCACTCATCAAACGAGGCCGCAGTCTTCTGAAACATGGGATCGATCTGATACAGGAATAAAGAGGAAGGAGGAGTGATCATATGTAGGCCAAAAATATATAAAATACATAACGCTTCACTCATTGGCTCCTGCGCATTCACACCTGCATAACTAAACTGAAGTGCCTCTGCATGTTGTCTAAAACAGAAATGAGGAAGAGGCTTCCAGATGATTAGGTAAAAACCCACCCCAGTGGATACCAGCTCAGAGGGAAGAGAGCATGTGGTCAGATGGCTACATGTACTCACATCAGGCACACAGTACATGGCCACAGGCTTGTACAATGTCATTGTGCTTGCTCACAATATACTGAACATGTATCCTTCTGCTATGGCTGGTGGAATGTTATCCCACCAACGTCTACTGTTTTTCTAAGCAGAAATATTTTCAAAGATTTGAAGAACAAGATTAAAAGATCCAGGCAAAGTACATGCACAGCTGTGTGGGTAAAACCTGAGAGAAGCTATAAGAAGGTTCCCAGAGCTGAGTGGGAGAGGAGCAGCATTTCTGGGCGACGCCAAGCCAAAGGCAACAAGGCGCCAAGTGTAAGAACAGGGACGAGGCAAGGCACGTGCATGTGTAGCAAGAGGCTAGAAGTTATGGATAGGTGGTCCTGAGACAGGAAATAGGCTGGGAGCTGAATCACAAATCTCCTGATGCCTGCGGCTATGAAGGGGAGAGAAGTCTGCAGTAGCATGTGGCTTGTGGCTCCCTAAGAACTAAGCCCAGCTCACCAGAACTGAGATTCTCTTCTCACCTTCCCAACAAGCCCCCTCACCACCTGCTTGTCCCAAGGAGCAGACACAGCCCTCATGTCCTTCCTGTCTCCTTATCCCTCATCCACTTAGCATGGACAAGGGGGTAGCATTTTCTTTCCAGGTGTCTCTGCTACATCACTTCCTTTCCAACTTCACTGTCATCGTGACAACCCTCACCTGCATGAACCCCATGTGCCTGGTCTCTCCCACCTCCTGTCTTAAAAATACCAGTGCTGGACTTGGATGGAGCTGGAAAAGGTCATGCTTAGTGAGATAAGCCAGAAAGAGAAAGAAAAATACCGGATGGTTTTGCTCATAGCAGGAGTATAATGGACCAGGAGAGAAAATAATAAGAATAATGAATAGCCATATACCCGAGACATTTTGTGGGAGTGGAGTGGAGAATGGAATTAAAAACAGGGGTGGGGGGGGGAGTGAAGTGCACGGGACTATGGTGATGGCACACTCGTGATGGAAAACTTGCGGGGATTACAACTGAGAAAAAAAAAATGTACAAAATGATGTAAAAATAAACTGTTATAATAAAAAAAAAAGAAAATACCAGTGGTGGGACTTCCATTCCTTTCCTCATGGAAGAATCTTGAGTAGCTAATGAATGAAATTCAGCATTTCAAAGTCAACATGGGACTTGTCTATTCGCCCACTTTAGAGTCCTCAGCCTGTCAGGCTCAGAGCACTGGATCTACCTGGTAAGAACAAATCTTGGAAAAGAGTTTCTAATCACACTGCTGCTAATAATTCCTGACTGAATTCATCCAGGTTCTGCAGAACGAGAAGGAAGCAAGAATGATAGTGAAATAAATATTCAAATTACCCAAGAAGGGAAAAAACAAGCAGTGGGACAGACAAGGGAAGCAAAGAGGATCCTGACCCCTCCTTGGATGTATACAACATCTTACAAAGCTCTGTACATCTGCTGTAAACCTTGCAGATGGTGTAAAGCACTTTGACAAAAGCTGACTCAGTAAGACATGTGGGTTACCTGTTTTGACGGTGTAACAAAGTAAGATTCAGAACCTATGCCCAGGCCATACAGCTAAAAGAGTAGAACCAGAATATAAACTTTAAAAACTGAAAAGCTCTACAGCTGGAATTCCCTGAGGTAAATGTGCCACTCTTGCCCCTCAGGCTCACCCACACTGTCCTCACAGGCTGGGGACCCCAGGCAGCCCAGAGCAGAAATGCCCACCCTGCTCAGGCCCTTCACCTAGCGGTCACAGGGCCCTCTAGACCAGGTATCAGCAAAATCTCCTGTACTGGCCACCTCTTCCCTAAGGGTCTCGTCACCTACTTGACCTAACTTGGTCATTCTCAATGAGGGCAATATCACGCTCAAAGGGGTGAAAGTTCTAGAAGAGTGAAAAAAATCTTAGATATTGTATGTTTTTTCAAACTTCAACCCTACCTGATAAAATCTCACTCCTTTGTAACTAATTTCAAGGGGGAAAGGTAGGACAAAATGTCTTACGAGGCTCTAAAGGACAGGGGGAGGGAGACAATGACAAAAGGCTGAGCAGCACTGTGCCAAGGAAGCCTGGTGTCCACGCAGGGACACTGCTGGCCTCGCGGACTTGTCTACTGGCGCCGCCCCCTCTCCCATAGCCAGCAAACCATGTGGCACAGACGATGTCGCTGTTGCTTCCAGGCTATGCTACGTCCTAATTCCTAAAACCCTCAGGTTTGACCAACAAACTTTACCACCTTCCATCTACCTATATTACAATCATCACCAGTCCCTGGTCACAGCCCTCACTACCCCTTTCTTAATTGGCTTAGTACTAGTCTCCTTTAACTACTGTTAACAGTTGTTGAAAATTTCAGTATCCGTATGTTGATCCTTCCAATACTCTGGCCTTCTGAAATCCTCTCATTCAACTGCCTTGGGTTCCATCCAAAGAACTCCAGGACTCTGAGACCCTTGCATGATCCCCACAATGGCTCAGATTTTCACTCCCTTGGAGTTGAACCATTAACCACGACTGTAATTTCCATATGCTCAAGACCAAGTGGCACCAAGTGCCCACTGCCCACCATCTCCTACTTTTCCAGCCTACCCCTTCTTGTCTCCAACACCTGTAAGGCTTTGGTTCCACCAGGTCTGCAACTTACCAATTATATGGCCTTGCACCATCTCTCCTTTCCCAGCTAAAATTCCACAAGCATTTACAATACCTTTGCAGATGCTGTTAACTCCAGGGTACCTTTCTAGTTGTGTTACCCTCACTCGGCTAAGCACAATCCAGCTTTCTGCCTTCTCCATACTTGTACTCACACCTCTAACCATGAGTGAAGAAAGACACAAAATCACGCAAATCAACCTCACTTGCCACCCACCTGCAGCTGCCACCAGACAGACCCACAGTGTTGTTATAGTTCTCTTGTCCTCTCACTTGCCTGCCCTCTCAGATGACCCCTTTTTCTCTCCTCAAAGCCCCAACACTCTGTCAGCTGAAAATCTGACTTCCCCTTTAATTGACAAGGGGAAGAGGGGGACTCCCTCCACAAAAATACCAAGAACGCTCCCATGAGTACACACTGAACACCATCTTCCATCAGCCACACTGCTCCTGAGCCAAGTGCATCTGGCCGTGCACGCCCTTTCCCTTCCTACCTGCTCAAGGACACTGCTCTAGTTCTCTTTTCTGCATCATCATCTCCTTCTTCACTAGATGATGTTATCAACAAATAAAAATGCTGTTCATTCTCCCACTTGAAACACAAAAGTCTGGATCTTGCTTTCCCATCCACTTGTTATCTTATCTCTATGCTCTAGTTTATATCAAAACTTCAGAAGAACTGTCTGGCAGAGTCTTCATTCCTCTCTTCCACTTGTTCCCCCTTCCCAACATACGAACCTACAGGAATGGTGAAGTAGCAATAAGAGCCTCTGCAGAACTTTTATCTAGATTCTCCAACAGGTAATATTTTGCAGATTTGCTTTCTCTCTCGGCCCTCAATGCCCAGAACAACTTTTAGGAAAATAATGTTACAACATTTGCTCTCCACCAGTTATTGAGCTCTAGTCCCTCAGCTCCAAGCCTGCTCTTCAATCCTCTGCTGTGATGCTGGCTGTGGGGCTTTATTTCCGCTTAGCTAGCAGCTCCATGTGGGCTCCACCAACAGGGGGCACTAAAGGGAGCCTGCAGGGCTGGAAAAAAGCCCAGCTCTTTTCTGTGGGCTTCCTGTTCCTGTGAGTGTCACCACCGTGCTTCTTAGCTACGGCAGGGCCTCCTGCGCAGCAGCTGAGTTCAATTTGTACTTTTCCCTCACACTCACAGAAACTACCCCACTGTGTGCCCTCAGGGGCCCCACCAGCAGGCAGCCTGCCCTCCTCAGCAGTCAGAGCCTAGACCCACAAGTCCCTGAGAAATACTGTATTTAGTAGTAAAATAAGTAAAAAATTGTAGTAATACCTATTTGCTTTAAATTAACTGTGCTATTAGTGAGGCCTCCAGTACCATTTCTTTAAGTTGATTCCTTAGAATTTGCTAGAGCATATAAGGTCATTTAGTACAAGGACTCTGGAGCCAATCAGTCCACTTAGTTTCAAATATCTGCTAAGTTACCTAACAGACTTGCATCTCAACTCCCTCTTCAGAAATTAACAAGGATATAGGGATTAAATCAGTTAGCACAGGCCACCATCTTAGGGCAGCACAGGGCATCTAGGAAACACACAATAAATGTCAACTCCTGTCACCACTGCCAGGAAAGGAAATTAATGTTTTATTCAATCAAATTTTCCAGTAATTTGTCATCTTTTCCTACCCAATCATTCTGAAATAATAAGGGGACTTACCCTTTCAATCTTCCCTCTAAAACTAAGATAGTAACACAGACAACAGCTGAATACTCCCTTGAGGCCTGATGAAGCACATACCAGCAAGGCAGGCTTAGCCCCACCATTTCAGTCCCTCATGCTCGGAATTAGTCAAAGACCACAATGCACACAGTTCCTCACCTCACACTTTCGATCTGCTTCAGAGACATTGAGGTTATTTATGTTCTGCTCAATGGTTTTGTATGAATGCTTCTTCTTAGGCTTTGGAATCTTTTTGGTTGTTCCCATTTCAGTAGCATTTCCATCTGAAAAAGGAATAAGACTGTATACAAGGATTGTTTTTGGAGAGTGTAACTTATTGATTCAAATTCCCCAAAACTCTAAAGCGGAATCGCAACTTAAATACATTCCACTCCCTCACAACAATTTAACTCGCAGTTGATGGAGCAACCACACTACTAGATTAAGTTTTTAGTTTATAAGACAAATTAATTTCTGAAGACCCTTAAATAAGAATTTCCCTCTTTGATAATACCTACTCAATCTTGCCTAAATAAAATCCAAAAGCTTCCATAAGCCCCTTCTCGTTTTCAAAGAAAAGCAATTCCAGTATTTGACTCCGTTATGTACAATGCTGCAAACATCCAAATTTTTAGTAGAATAATCAATTTCTTGTGGCTTCACCCCAATATACTGCTCAAATTACTACATGCTACACCCTTTTAAAAGCCCATTAAATCCAGACCCAATCCATGTACCTTCACCACTGATCTCGCCTTCTTCTGGAGAGGGCGCATCTTTGCCCAGCCCCCCCAGGACTCTGTAGACATCCGCATGGACAGCATCAACGCGCACAGCATAAATTTTGGTGCTAGCATCCAGAGTGCCTGCAGCCACCTAGCCACACAAGCAGAACTGTTTTATGATCATGCCTAGAAAGGGCTTCTGAACAGGCAAAACACAGCAAGCTTCAGAGAATATTTATTTGCCCTTAAGGGAAAAAATGGCAAAGATTCCCTTAAGACACAACAGAAAAATATCTCCTCTACATTTCATCAGTTTAGGAAAGAAAAGTGATATGGGTAATAAAACATCTGAAGAAAGGCTCTCTTATATTTGTAAAGTTAGATATTACATAACAGTGTTGGAAATAATCATCAATTTGAATACAAAGAAAGTGGATTTTTCTTACTTTAAAGTTGGTCGGTTCAGTGTCTTTCTGTTTAAGAATCTCTAACATAAAATCAATCAAGTGCAAGCCAAAAGCATTCTTGGTAGTGATTTTCTGAAAACAGAAAATTGCACAAAGGTTTGGAATTTAGGTTCATGTAAATAATATTACCCTAGTAGAGAACATCAAGTTTTTATCATACTGGAACAGCCCACATTTCAACACCTAGTGACACCAATAAATCCATACATGCAATTCTTTCATACTGAAGGCATACAAAGACACACACAACTCTTGAGAGTTCACTGTTCACAAAGGGACTCAGTCACCTTCAAAGTGACTATGAGGCAAGTACTATTCTCATTCATATTTTACAAAGGACCCCACAACAGAGTGGTTAGGGGACTTGCCAAGGCCACACAGCTTACAAGTGGCAGAGACAGGTTTCCAACACAGCCTAGCTCTAGAATTCAACAAGTAGCTCACCACCCTACTATCTGTCTCTTTTTCTCTCTACTTCTAAAACTCACAAGTACCAATTATGATATGCAGCCTCTCTACAGTCACTGCAGCATGAGGCAAACAATCTGTCAGAAGGAGCACCAAAGGTATGTAAGAAACAGTAGCTTTAAGAGTTACTGGAGAACAGCACACAACTATTATCAATCATGCTCCCTTTCCAAAATCAAAGAAGGCTAGATTCCCCCTGCAATCGGGTTGTCAACTCTTTAATAATTAACCAGCAGATACTCACATTTTCAGTGGACAATTTGATACAGGTGGAATAATGTTCTGTGATCTGTGTGTTTGTAAATTTAGGAGTTGTAGATGAAACGTCAACAGTCCTAAATGAAAACAAAAAACTCTGCAAGGATCCATGATACAACTTTTCAAAATCCAGACCCAGAATCCACACGGAATTGTGGAAGCGTGAGGCCTGTGTAAGCCACAGCAAGGAGGTGGCTCCAGGGTGGCTGCTCAGAAACACTCACCTGCTGGAGGGGGAGGCTAGCAGATGGGGCGAGTCTGTGCTGAACTGCAGATCAAAGACCCGGGAGCGCCTCCGCTGCAGCCGCTCCTTTTCATCATCGTTCTGAGGAAAGTCTTCAAGGACCGGGGTGCCAGGAGTGCTAAGAGGGGCCTTCCTGGGCAGGGCCATGGAGAACACCCGTTCCGCAGGTGAAGAGGCACCAGGGGGATGTCCACGGGGCTCTGAAGAAGAGTTATTGATTATAGTTGACAGAGATGGAACAGAACACTTGCTCAAGAAGCCACCAACAGAACATGTCCTGGTTCTAAAGGGGTACTGTCACAGAGGGCAAATTCACTGTATATGGCCCACCAAAATCTTTTTCAACTCTAATATTCTATAGCTAGAATCTCTATAGTTTGGGTTTTGGGGTGGGGAAGGTGGGAGAGGGAGATCACTGACAGATGCTTCTGTGCCTATCAGGGACAAATACCCACCATGTAGCCATTGTGAACCTAAAGCATTGTGGCATATAAAGATGGGTAAGATAAGGCTGCTGGCCCTGAAAAGCTCTCAAACTAATAGAACAGATGCACCATAAGGCCAGGCAAGAGAGAGAGAAGATGCTAAGTCAAGGGTGAAGTATGGCTACCAGGTCAGACAAGCTAGATTCTTAACTAGGGGAGACAAACAACAGGCATAACTATAAAAAAAAAATATATCCAGAGAATCACCCACAATTACTTGCTAAATACAAAGGGAAAAATGTCTTACACAACAAAGTAGTCATCACTATGCTAACCAAGCAAGCAAATATAGCCTTGACAAAGGTGAGACCATTTGAAACTTTGTGTCATCTCCTAAAGGGAGGAAATATGAAATTCATAGCATCGCCCATATTTTTGCTAAAGATGCTTACTCCAAATTTAACTCAGACTTTAGCTCTACCTACCATTTTATAGAAAAACAATAAATAATGATACACACAAGGAAACATTCAGACAAATCTAAATGTGGAGCAGTTTACAAGGCAGCTGTCTCAGTCTCTTTAAAGTCAATGCCAAAAAATTTTTTTAAAGTAGGGGGATTTTCTGTATTAAAAGAAACCTGATTCAACATCACTCGTAATAAGGGAGATGCAAATTAAAACCACAATGAGATACCACCTCACCCCAGTGAGAATGGCACATCTTCAAAAAACTAGCAACAACAAATGTTGGCGAGGATGTGGTGAAAAAGGAACTCTCCTGCACTGCTGGTGGGAATGCAAACTAATACAACCACTATGGAAAACTGTTTGGAGGTTCCTCAAACTGCTAAACATGGAGTTTAGCAGCAATCCCACTCCTAGATATCTACCCAAAAGACACAAAAATACTGGTTGAAAAAGATACCTGTACCCCCATGTTTATTGCTGCTTTATTTACAATTGGAAAAACATGGAAGCAGCCCAGATGCCCAAAAGTAGATGAATGGATTAGAAAGATGTGGTACATATATACAATGGAATATTACTCAGCAACCAAAAAAGAGAAACACATGTCTTTTGCAGCAACTTGGATGGAACTGGAAAAGATCATGCTTAGTGAGATAAGCCAGAGAGAGAAAGAAAAATACAGGATGGTTTCACTCATAGCAGGAGTATAATGGACCAGGTGGAAAATAACAAAAATAATGAACAACCATATACCAGAGACATTTTGTGGGGGTGGAGTGGGGAATGGGATCAAAAACGGGGTGGGGGGAGGGAAATGCACGGGATTATGGTGATGGCACATGGGTGACTTGGTGATGGGAAACCTGTGGGGATTACAATTGAGATGGGAGAAAAAAATGTACAAAATGATGTAAAAATAAACTTTTGTAATAAAAAAAGAAAAGAAACCTGAATCATAAAATACAAAAATAATGCCTGAATTTTCAGTCAACCCTTGTCCAAGCAGCATACTGGGGATAACTAGGGATACAAGGAATATAGTCTTGATATTAGGTAACATTAAGGAACTGATTCTTACTTCCTTAGGTGTGACAAGAATATTATAGCAGGCAGAGAATATCCTCACTTTTAGGAAATGCATGAGGAACAACTAAGGATAATACGACATGTGTAACTTTCAATTGGATCAGTCAAAAATATACCCGTGAGGACTAAGATAAAGTAAATACAGCAGAATGTTAGTTAGCCACTGCTAGATCTGGTTATAAGGGTGATTATTTGTCTTGGACTTTCAATTTCCATGTATGTTTGAACATTTTCATAGGAAGCCAGAAAATATATGGCAAGTTAGATGGAGATAAAAGCTGTGGAGAAAAGTCAGTCACAGACGGAAAATGAGGGTTGGGGAATGGAGGTGCAGGTCATTTTAAATATAGTGGTCAGAGAAGACCCTACCAAGAAGAAAACATCAGAATCAAGACCAATGAGGCTATCAGGGGAAACAAAGGGAGTACCAAGTGCAGACATGGGAAAACACACCTGGTCTGGGTGAGGAGTCCAGTGCCGCCCAGGGGGTGAGTCCAAAGGGAGGAGAACAAAAGTGAAGAGGTAAGTGTGTCAGGCTCCCCTGGGTCTAACAGAGCAGAAAATCCAGTTAGAAGGAATAAGGAAAGATAGCTGGAAAGGGTATATGAACCTTAGTATGGGCCCACTGCAAGAACCTCCTTCATGTGGAGAGAGAAGAGAGGTGATTAGAGGGTGGTGAAAAGAGGAGTAAAGTGAGCTAATTTATGTTTCAAAAAGAACCCCCTGGTGTTATGCTGAAAACAGATGGGAAAAGGAACAAGAATTGACAGTCAGGCTTCAGAAAACTATTATTTAGCCTAGGCTGTTTTCAAATTTAAAGTTGCCAGTAGACCTTCAAGTATTTTTAGTGCTCTTCCCTCATTAGGAACGAGCAATTTCATCACTCAGAGAGACAGAAACTGCCAGCTTTTTCAACTAAAACAATCTGCTAATGTGTTCTTTAAACATCACTGTCAAACATAGCCTTCTTCCCCCCAAAACACACTGGCCATATAGCTGGCAGAAAAAAAGGGTAAACAAAGCCATAAGAAAACTCTAAGACGCTGTGCCTGGTTCCAAGGACACCCCAAGTCAGCACTGCTACAGTATTAGAAAGTTCTTATTCAGTCTGCTCTCTAGACAGCTCCGCACAGAAACATGCCACTGTTCAGTAGGGACCTTGAATAACTGATAAGTTTGGTCCTGCTTGTTAAGAGGGCTGGAGAAAAAACAAAAATGACATCTCTCCTGTTTTGGATATTCTTTAAGAGCTCAAACTAGTGCCTGTTTGGGTGAGTAAACAAGTAGTTCTATTAGTTTTGGATTTTAGGACAGTGGTAGGAAACTACAGTATACAGTAACCAAAAGTATTAAAGCTCAGATGCATTCCCTCCACTTTTTGGATTCAAGCTGCAGATGGTCCACGTTTGATTAAAATATGTTATTGGTCCTCCCTGGTGGCGTAGCAGGTTAAAGCACAGCACTAAGAAACTAAAGCCACTTCAGCATGAGTTTGATTCCCACCTGCCCGGGAGGTGATCCACATAACGCAGCAGACCTCTCCTGACCCACCCGCTGCTCCCTTCATCAGTAGGTCTATTCTGCTCCCCACTCTCTGGTGAATCCTCTCACCACCCCTGTACTCCAGTTCTGTATGCATAAATAAATACATCTTTAAAAAAAAAGTTATCAAAAAGCAATCACATTTTAAGTTATTTCAATTTCAATTGTCCCTGTTCAGTGAAACCACCGTGAGAATTCTCCCATTCTGCGTGCATGCTAATTGTGAGGAAGCCAGAACAAAAGGAGAAATACATTCTTTGAAGATCTGTCAAATGTTAAATATCTTCCAAATCCAACCACCACTCTTCCTACTTCCCACACAGAGTTTGCATTACATTATTTTTCTTGGAGAATTATGGGAAGGTCACAGACCACTTTAGACATAAAGTAACAGATCACAATTTATCTTTGTGTGTTTAGATATATGTGGAACACTTGTCTCCCTCAGTGGAAGTTATTTATTGTAGCGGCAGAGGAAAAGCAACATGACTGCATATGGACCCTTCACCACCAATGTCCAATCAACTACTCTTCCTGCTGCCTGAATCTCTCCACATAGCTAA